CCCCCCCCCGGAGCCCCCCGGCCCATCCTCCCCAGCGGGGCCCAGGGGAGCGCCACTCACCCGGGTGGGTCATGGTCTGCACCTCGGGCCCGGCGGCGCCGTCGTAGTTGAAGACGGCCACGGCCTGGGCTCGGAGCCGGGCGGCGGCGTTGATCTTGACGCTGAACATGCAGCCCCCGCCGCGCTGCACCAGGGCCACCCAGGGCTGGTGCGCGGGCGCCCCGGAGAAGTTGCTCCGCGGGCTGCAGGCGTTCAGCCCCTCGCGGGCGTCCGGGGCCACCACCAGCCCGGCGGCCGGACGCACCGGCGAGTCCAGCCCGAAGAGGCCGCCCTCGTCCGCGTTCCACGCCGACGCGTTGCTGCCCGGCAGCCGCCACGACACGTTCAGCCAAGCCGTCCACACCGACTGGGCGCCCGCCGGACGCGGGCCGAGGCCGGCGGGCCCCAGCGTCAGAAGCCCCAGCAGCGCGCCCAGCAGCGGGGCCCCCAACGACGACGACGACGACGCCCGAGCCGACCCGGATCGCCGCATCGCCCGCTTCCCACCGACCGTCGCCTCAGGCAGCCTCTGCCGCCGCGGAGCGGGCGCGCACGCGGGCGGGAAGGAGGGGGCGGCGCTTGCAGGACACGCCCACTCCCTCCCCTCTCCCTCCCCAGGCCGTCGCCACAGGCAACCCCCGAGCGCGGGCAGAAGGGAGGCGGCGCCTGCGCAAAGGGGCGGCGCTCGGAGGACACGCCCACCCTTCTCTCCCCGACCGTCTCTTCAAGCGGCCGAGCAGAAGGGGGGGGCGGTTCCTGCGTGGAATGGGCGGTGCTTGGAGGACACGCCCACTGCCTCCCTCCCTCCCGTGGCTGAGGTGCGCTTCACCTGGGCGCTTGTGCTAAGATGCTGGGAGTCGTAGTTTCTTTGGCCAGAAGAACAGGTAGTCCCCTGGTTTGCTAACGGGTTTGTTTAGTGACTGTTTCAACGTCTTAACGGCCCGGTAGTCTAGAGGTGGAGCTCTTGCCTCACAATCAGGAGGCTGTGAGTTCGATCCTAGATAGAGGCTAATATTTGGAGTCGACTCTCCTGCTTGAACTGGGGGTGGGACTAGATGACCTCCAAGGTCCCTTCCAACTCTTGTTATTCTACTGTATGATACTCTATGACTTAGGACTGTTTTTTTACAGTTACGACCGTTGTAGCATCCCCCGTGGTGACGTTGTCAAAATTCAGCCTCTTGGCAATCGACTCGTCTTTGTGACGGTTGCACAAGCCAAATTCACTTACTTATCAACTGCAGCGATTCACTTAACAACTGAGGCAAGAAAGGTTTGTAAAATGGAGCAAAACTCAATAAGATGGTCTCACTCGACAACAGAAATGTGGGGTTCGACTTGTGGCCGCAAGTGGAGAACTCCCTCTAGCTGGTGGCTTTCCGAGCATCTGGGTTTGCTGGAAGTGGTTTCGTTACTTGCCTAGGTAAAGCTTGTCAGGGCTGGTGAAGGTTTGTTGAAGACCGGGACACGGACTCTCTCTCTCACTGGTGATGTTGCCTAGTTTGGGTCAGGAAACGTCTACAACAGTGGTGGGATTCAAAAAGTTTTACCACTGGTTCGGTGGGCGTGGCTTGGTGGGCGCACTTTGCGTGTGTGCATGTGCCAAAGGCACACTTTGCACAAGCGCAGAGGTGTTCCAACTCGTCTCCTGCAAGCCTGCAGTCTGCCAGTCGCTTCAGCAGCTGTGGCGTGGCACTCTCCTATGCCGTGCAAAGCAGCTGTGCTTCAAAAGCAGAGGATCAAGGTGAGTATGGAAGCCCGGGCGGGCAGGTAGGCCCAACAGCAGAGCGGCAGAAAGAACTGGTCTCCGTTGTTCATCACCGCTAGCAGCTCAGCAGAATTGGGCCGAACCGGTAGAATACCACCCCTGGTCTACAAAGGAAACAAGCAAGCTCAGAGAACACCAAGGATCCCACAGTCTTCTTCCTCTTCCTCCTCCTCCTCTCCATGCACCCCACTTTCTTCCAACACGGATGGTGTTACCTAGATGGGTCATGCAAGGAAACAAGCTCAGAGAGCTCAAGTGACCCCTCATTTCAACTCTGAGCTACAAAATATTCTCCTTTATTGGTGATACACAATCTCCGGCAACCAACAGCCGGATAAGCTGGGATTGACACCAGACAAATAAAGAAGCAAGAAAACCATGCCCTAATTAAGGAACTGCGGTACTAAGGAGAAAACCACACCAACTCTCGCAGGGCGAGCTGCTGTATAATATAAACAGGGAGCAAACCACTCATTTGCATTGATGGTGTTACCTAATCAGGGAATGAAAAATCTGCCAGCAAACAACCGAGCACGGAAAAACCTGAGGACTCCACAGTCCTAACCTGAGTGACGGATATTCTCTATCGAAATGCCTTTCTATAAAATTTGGACAATGGCCAAGGCCTCTGGAAAGGAATGATAGAAATTTACAATTAAAAAACAAAATCCATCTTGTCGATCTCAAAAGGACGATCATCCTCAACTTACAGCCGCCATTGGGACTGAAACTTCAGTCATTAAGTGATGCAGTTATTGAGTTGCACCTAATTGTATGACTCTTTTTTTGTTGTAAATCACGTGGAAACCCCCCTCCCCTCCAGGGTGCTGCAACCATCATAAATGCGTGCAGGTTGCCAAAGCTCCCAAATTTTGATTGTGTAACCATGGAACTGTTGTGATAGATGTGAGTGTGAGAGAGCCAGTCATAACTTGCTTTTTCTAATCCGGTCATAACTTCAAACGGTTGTTAAACAAATGTCATAAATCCAGGACTACACGTGCAGTGTTTTTATCGGAGTACAAAACCGAGAGGTTCTGGAAACTTACTGGGGAAAAAAATGAAATAAAGAAAAGGCTCCCAATACGTGGAAGATGGGAATTGTGAGTAATGCGCATGGTATTACGAATACATCTGAAAGAGAGAGTTTAGCTATCTTCAAAGGAGGTAAGAGGACAAGGGTGGGACCTTCGCTTTGGAAACAAAAATCATTAGTGGTGTTGGAAAAAATGGGGCAGGGAAATTCCATTTGATAACATTCAGTTCAGTTGTGAATTGTATTTGCAGAGAACTAATCTAGGCCATTCTAAGCTCTGTCCATAAAGCTGCCTTTGCTAATTTAGCAGTGCCCCCGGCCTGCAGTCTGGAGTGGGCTCTCCTCCTTAACATACAGGTCATTAAAGCTTCCATTAAAGAATAATTCATAATAATAATTCATAATAATTCATTGAATTCTTCTTCTTCTCCTTCTCCTCCCTTTTTCTCCTCCTCCTCCTCCTCTCCTTTCTCCTCCTCCTTTCTTCTTCTTTTCCTCCTCCTCCTCCTCCTTTCTTCTTCGTCTTTCTTCTTCTTTTCCCTCTCCTCCTCCTTCTGAGAAGGAGGTAAGGACACGGGCTATGTTGAGATGTGTCATGGAGGCATGGCCTATCTCCTGGTGCTTCAAGCTTTCAAAGAAAACACGGGAGCCTCAGTTAAATAGGTCAGAGAGATGGCGCTGTTTGATTAAGCGAGAATATTGGGGCTTTGCTCGGCACTCCAAATTACGAATAATTGGGCCAGGATGTCGACATTCTGTCACCAAAGGTTCTCAATTAGGGTTGGAGAAGATAAGAACTTGGGAAAACAAGCTCCCCCTTGCTGAAATGAGCAAACCTGGACAAGAACCGGATGGAAGGCAGCTTGCTGGAACTCATCTGCTGCCATTTTAGACATAAACAATCGCCTCGTTCCATAACGTACACTGTGTTGCTACTAATAAAGTACCTATTGTGCTATATGTACATAGCTATCCAGGCCAGTATGGATTCTGGGAGTTGAAGTTCACATCTCTTAAAAGTTGCCACAGCTGACACTGGTCTAGATCAACATCTCTCAAGCTGGCCTGCTCCAGATGTGGTCAGGTTATCTACTCAGAAGATTATAACTGATGGAGTTGTAGATTTAGGACATCTGGAAGATGCCGGGCTTTGGAAAGTATGATTCATTCTTTTAACAAATCCATTCCTTTTCTAAGAAATGGTAACAAGGAAGATCCTGGCAGTTTATTTCTAGTTTCCATTCATTAATTTATCCGATACAAGAAATTCTGCATCACACAGCAAAGGCTTTGCCTTTTACAATGCAAGTCAGTAACCTGTAAATTTGGTGCAATCGTAGCTACCATAACAATGTAATAGTAACAATAATGGGACAGGGGGAAAAAAAATGAAGACTTAATTTTCCAGGTCCTAAAATGCTGAAAACCAAAATGTCACCTCTGTAAAATGCGTAAATTCCTCTCAAGAAGGAATGAAAAACCACATCAAATACATTAAAAACATAATCCCCCCCCCCCCCCCCACAATAAACACAAGGTCTCAGTGTCCTAAAAACAACTCCCAGAGATTTCACATCTCAAGAACCCTCACCTGGGAGAGTTTGCTCTGGAGTTGTTTGACTTTTCAAGAAGTTAAATAAAGATTTTGATCTGTGTAATTTTCCTTGGGCAGGGTAGAGTCGAACAATGTCGGGCCCTATTAGCTAGGTAATAAAAATGTGCTTTTCAAATAATGAATTAGCTGGGAGGAAAAATTAGTATTAGGTGCATATTAATGGTCCCAGTCTTTTCCCCTCTGCAGACAAGACAGCATTTCGTGAGCTACAGAGAAAGTGAACGAGAAGACAGGATAACAGATGACAAAATTTTTCATCTGTTTCAGGCAGGGTTGTTGGGTTCATGGGGGGTTTCCAAGCTGGATTTAAACCTTGTCATTTACTCACTAATTATCAGCTGAGAGCGATCGGTATGAAGCAATACATTAAACATTTCATGGTGAAAGTCCCAGATTTAAACCTCTTTCTCCCCAGCGCCAAATACACTGGATAATTTCAAAATATACCACCTCAATCTATTTAGGATTGAGCTGAGGACTTGGGAAATCACACATGGGAGTTCAAGTATCATGTCAAAAGGACAAATGGCTTGGTTTGATCTTATGTCAACCGTATGTCTCTGACATGCTCCAGACCCGATTCAACAAAACTGCAGCTTTAGTGTAATATGGGAAGCTATTCATGAGATGAACTTGGCATCCTTACCTTCCTGCAACCTTTGTTTTATCCTGGTTTTTTTTTTTCCTCCCTTTCTTCTGTTCCTTTCCCAAACTTTGCACTGTCAATCTCTTAGGGAAGGAACAAAGAATCAATTCTACCCAGGGTGCAAGTTAAACCGCAGTAGCACTGCACGCAAATAGGCAACGATTATCATCAGATTCTTTGTAGACCAGAAGAAAACAACGGAAAGGAAAGCGCCCAGGCATGTTCAGGCAGAAATATTGTTATATCATTCGGCAGGGTCTTTCCTAGAGTTTGTCTGACTTTCTATTTGCTGGGAAGGAATCAGAAAAAGGAATTTCCCTTCCTTCTTTAAAGGGGCTGATTACACAAGATTAGAGATCTGGGGTTTTTCCATGTTGTAGGAAGTTGGCACCCACACCTCTCCTAGAAAATCGAAATATTCCAGGAAATATTAAAAAGGCAGAATATTTCCCCTCAAAAGAGTAGAAACTCAAGAGCAGAAACTCACCTCAGAAGCAGAAATTCACCCCCCACCTTTGTTAATGGGTGGGCCATTAAGGCCTGGGCCAGAATACTTTACATACCAAAGATCTCCAGGTAAAGCTACAGCAATTGCCAAAAGCCCTTTTCAGTGCATCGTCATCCAGCAAGGCTCAACCAAGCCTGGAACTCAGGACAGCCTACAGAATTGCCCCCCGCATAGCCCCATGGGAGTCCGACAACCAGTTAGAAACAAGCTCCAGTTCAAATCCCAACAAAGGTTATAAAACCCAGGCACTCTCAGCACCTCAGTCTTCTTCTTCCTTCTCTTTTCCTTCACCTTGGAGCACGTGATCATCCTTCTTTGGAGCTCCAGGCCATGTGGTCCTGTCCACCATTAAACCTTCCAAACAGCCTCCTTTGTTTCCAGTGTCTTTTTCCCCCCTTGGCACTGAACCCAGGAGGAGATTTCTTCCAACAATGTGATCCAAAAACATAGTTCAGAAGCATCAAGCTACTGATAAAACCGCCAACAGGGAAAATGTGTCTAGACAGGTCAAAGTTGGGTTATAGTACAAACAACGAATATAGACATGGCACAACACGAGATCCACCCAATAAGAGCTCTTTAAATGAAAATGGGAAACAGCAAGGCTGTTCATTAGATCAAAGTATGAAATTCTTAATATTGATGGCCTTAATTCCAGTGGCTAATGAGTCACCTTGCTTAGAGCTAAGGCTGTACTGGAAGGCTGGAAGGTGAAGAGCGAGCTGAGCTGAGATACTGACTACACACACACACACACACACACACACACACGAAGATTATCCACCTAGTTTTCTTGGCAATACAAAAACTGTGCATCATTGCCACCTTCTGATATGTATCTGTAACTTCCCGTTTGGTGTGCGCCGTTCTGGAAGTTTCTGATGGTTTCTCAGCTAAATACTTAACCAGGTCTCAACCTGTTTTAAGATTTGGTCAGTTAGGTATTGGATAACTGTTTTTATATGGTGTATTTTCAGACATATTTGATGGTGTTGCATGACTGATAGGAAGCCAGGGTGAATTCTGACTTGACATGGCTAAAAATGTTTTGTTTATCTGGAATCAAGCTGCACTTTGGAACCCAGAACATGGGGAGTTAGCAGTGTGCAATGTCAGGTGATCCATGACGATGGTCCACAAGCACCAGGCCAGAGTGCATTATTCAGGAAATATTAAACATTAATTTCTATTTGAAAACCTAGAACACGATTAATAGAACGAATACAGGCAAATCCTTGGCTCAACGAGCAAAATTGAGGCGGAAATTTCTGCTGCTGAGCGAGATGGTTGTGAAGTTAAGTTTTGCTCCGTTTTACGACCTTTCTTGCCATAGTTGTTCTACAGACAGTCCTCGACTTACAATGGTTCATTTAGTGACCGTTCAAAGTTACAACGGCACTGGGGGGAAAAAGGGACTTAGGACGGTTTTAGCATCCCAATGGACACATGATTTACATTTGGACGCTTGGCAACTGACTCACACTTATGACGGTCGCAGTGTCCTAGGATTATGTGAGCCTCCCCTTTTTTGGGGTGACCTTCTGACAAGCAAAGTCAATGAGGAAACCAGATTCACTTAACAACCATGTTCCTAATTTAACAGCTGCCCTGATTCGCTTAACGGAACACGGTGAGGAAAGTTGTAAAATTTGGCCAAACTCGCTTCACTAATTTCTCACTTAGCAACATCCGTTTGGGGGCTCAATTGTGATCGTAAGTTGAGGACTACCCATATTGTGAATTTGCTCTAATGGGGAACATAAAAACAACAGCTAAACACCACACTCACAATTTTCTTGTTGTATTCCAGGGATGACACTTCAAACTTTTTGCACCTGGCAACTTGGGATGAAAAGATGGTTCTCAAGTCCTTTTGTACCAGTTGTGGGTGTTTTGGTACCACTCAGCTATTTGATTACTCCAGCATCCAGTTCCTTGAATCAGCTAAAATAAAGGTTCTTTATTCCGCTGTTGCTCCGGTGTGCGATTTGTATGACCATTACATTTTACAACGGCTTGCACCCTAAGAAATATTCCTATTCAGGCATAATAGCAAGCCAGAGACTGCAAGCAGATGGTTAAGAACGTTAATAGACTAGCTGGGAACTGAAAAAGAGAACCAGAAAAAAAAACACGGGGAGAACTGAAAGTGCAAAGAAGGGAAGCAAAACTAGGGAAGCGACTTGCTTCCTCGGTTCTCTTGTCCTTTGCTGAATAACACATGAGACTGAAAAAGAACAATGTAGTTTCTAGTAGGGAGCTAATTTGTGTGATTACAGGCAGGAGAATTTTGGAATGTGGGGGGATTTGGCTTGGTGTGCACAATTAAAAGTTGGCCAGCTGGGGGCACTATTGTTCCAGGATAGATAAAGAACATTGGATTTCTACAGTTCCATTAAGTTGGTTTCTATTATAAACCCAGTGAATTTAGAATAGGCTTCTCTTCTCTCCTTTCATGTCTCTATCATTTCCGAAGACACAGGGCAGATTCTCGGAATGAATTGGTTACAGAATCCCTCCTGATCAAAAACTAGCTTTCTTTATGCTTGACATATCTGATTTTCCACAGCATTCCGGTCACAAGCAGTAAGGCAGTTGATACGATATTCATAAATGTACTGTGTGATGATTGCCTGTTGCTAACCTGGATATATATCAGATCGCATCTTTATTACGACCAGAGACCAGCACAAACCTGGACACATAAGCAGAGGAAAATCAGGAGAAGGTTTAGTAGCCCCCTTTTCTAACCAACCAGTTTTAGTAAAAGGCATTTGGTTTTTATGAGTTGCAGCTTGCTTCATCATCAGATGCTCGCAATGACTGAATTGATACAGGGTTCACATTGTGATCTATAAAAACCAGATTATTTTGTCGTTCCAAAACAGCTTCTTTAAAATCCGTGATAGGAGTGCCTTGGGAAGATTAGCATGCCAAAATTTCTCTGTCCTGATTGTTTTGAGACTGAGCTTAAAAATAAAGGTCCGTTTATTCCATAATGTGGTGTTTATGTGTCCATTGTGCAGTGTTATCATGACATTGAGGGAATTGACTTGTGCTAGGGGATAAGAAAGCTAAGGTTGATGCTGGATGGAAGCGATTGAGGTCTTGATGGGATCGGATGATTCTTTTCCCATGGATGTCATTGATGAGAGGGTCATCAAGGAATCTCGATTAAAGGAAGGATACTTCAGGATTTAAGAATTGAGAAAGCATTGTTTAGGCCAGCCCTGAAGATACTGGCATCCCGTGAAGTCATGTGTGCACGCCCCTATTTACAGATAAAATCCACCTCCTTGGCGTCACGGTGAAAACGATCACCGACACAGAAACAGCAATGTTTGACAGAAAACCTACAGAACACCATGGATACTATATATGCACGTGCTTCCAGATTCTACCCAGAATGCATCCCACCAAATCAATTTTCCATAGGTTTTACTCTATGCATTTGCTCTGACCTATTTGCCAAAGAGATGCTCAACTGATGGAATTAATCCAGGCAGTCAGGAGACTGAACCACCCGCCCAACAAGATCAATAGACTGATCAATAGAAGCAAATTGATTCCTAGGGAGAACCTATTAAAAAAACAACAACAGAACAACGGGACGCTCTTGGCTGCTATCTACATCTTACAGCTCGAGCCACTCAAAGGTGTTATTAATAAGCTGCGAACCATGCCAGGTATGGAAGCTGCACTTTCCTAGGCCCTGGGTGGCAGGACTGAATTTGCCTACAGAACTCAACCTGAAATGAGGTTCTCCTTAGCAACCCCAGAAGAACGATGCTGCTAACATGGGAATCAACCTTGGGTTTCCTAAACAAGCGGGTCTGTTTAACTCTCACTTTTACCAACAGCATCACCACAGACCTCTGAAAACTAGATTATTATTATTTTTTCATATTTCGGCCTCCAATGAGATTCATATCACAATCTGTCAGCCGTGGCTCTCTGAATTCCACGTGGAACTGATGTGTGCAAAGCAATCAATGGATCGAGGTCTGACATCAGGACTCGAAACAAGGACAAAAAAGAACACCAGTGTTCGACCTTCTAGAGATGACAAAATACACTTCGTTTAGTGACCATCTGAAGTTGACATCAGGACTGAAAAAAATGACTTAGGGCCGTTTTCCACACCGATGACTGTTGGCAGCATCCCCAGAGTCGGGTGATTTACATTCGGATGCTTGGCAACGGGCGCATCTTTATGACGATGATAGTGTCCTGGGGGGGGGGTGTCACGTGATGCCCTTTTGCAAACTTCTGACGAGCAAAATCAGATTGACTTAACGACTGCGTGACTAAGTTAAGAAATGTGGCGAGAAAAGTCGTAAGACAGGGCAAAACTCACTTAACCAATGTCTCACATAGCAACATCCATTCTGGGCACCCCTGTGGTTGTAGGTCGAGGACTACCTGTTTGAGCTGTTTGGGATAGTGAAATTTGACTAGCCCAACTGAGCAAGAGGTTGCCGAAGGTAAAAGATTACAAGCCATCTCAGAAGGATTCGACAAACCCAATGGGTTTTTCCACACATTACTAAAAAGGGCTGCCAGACTCAAGATTTTAGACTCTCACAGACTGCCACGTGCCACTCCCTATAATATAAGGTGGGGAAATATCACATAGGAACCAAAAACACAGACCAAAGTTCAGGCATTGGATTATATTTCCTAGATGATTTGATTGCTTATTGTGCCCTATGACTATTATTAAGTGTTGTACCTTGTGATTCTTGACTCTTGACGAATGTCTCTTTTCTTTTATGTACATTGAGAGTATCTGCTCCACGACAAATTCCTTGTGTGTCCGATCACACTTGGCCAATAAAGGATTCTATCTTCTATCTTCCAAATGTCTTCCAAGACTTATTGGGTTCATTCAAAATAAAAGCGTCTCTTGACACCAGAACCCCTGGATTCTTACTTTAAAGTTCTGCATTCAGCAAAACCACAAGGGGAACTGAAAGCTGTTCACGTGTCAATAATTAACTTCAGGTCACTAAATCAGGCAGAAACTGAGATAGGCGGCCAGGCAAGTTATCTGCCACTACCACCAAAAGGAAAATGGCCCCAAAGCATTCCTGTCTGCCATTTTGGTCTTGTGCATTTGATCGCAGAATTTAGCAGAAATATTTGTACACCCCCCACCTCCTTCCAGAAAGACAACCAAGGAAATTCACTGGGATACCAAAACTCCAGGGATACTTGCTTCTCTTGGGAGAGAACTGGCCATTTTAATTTTGGGATAAGTTTTCAGGGTAGATTCCCTATTACAGAACGTCTATGTGCGTGCAATGGGCCCTTAGTTAAGCCAGTTCTTTGTGTGTCTCAGATCTGTGGACCAGACATTTAAAAACAACAAAACACTGCATCCTTCCGAGTGTACGTTCAAAATAGAAGGCTGCTCATCATTAGAACAAGGGTCTTGGTCTATTCATCTCAAAGCCCATTACTCATTTCATTCCTCCTTCCAACTTTTACTCTGCTTCAGCAGTGGAAATGATTAAATTAGGCTTCTGCTAAACAGCCGCCCAGTCAAAACCCTCTATCGACGCGATGCATATCAGCCAGAGATACATCAGTGGTGCAGATTTTCCTTTGGCTTGGCTTATGAAGAAATGAGAGAGGGAGGGAGGGAGGGCAGGGGAAACTTACAATGTACTTAGAGGAGTTAAGTCACCAGAAAACAAAGATGGCTGCTGTTAGCATTGGGTGCAGTTCTCTACACATTGGATAAAGAAAGCGCATACTTTGCACTAATGGTGTTGATAAAGAAAATTCAAAAGCATGCTATCTCTTTTGTGACACAGGAATTGCAGGAGAAACCAGATGGCAAACTGCTTATTCAGTCCTTGTTAGTTCCTTCTGTGAATGCACATTTATGCGCCTTATCTGAGGTTTTTTTTTTAATTCATCTTTGCATGCTCCTCCTTGGGCATCACCTTCAACCAGACTTTTGAAAGGTAGCAAGGGAAAACGGGCAGACACACGCTAAGCCGTTATTTCAGAATGCCGCAACTCTACTAATAAATAAGCCCATTGAGTTTCATCACTGATTTTTTTCAACCCAAGCCCTATCTTTTTTTTTTTTTTAATTAAATTTCTAACTGCCCGTCTCACCTAAAAGATTCTCTCAGGTATCATCATCATCTGTGGTTTTTTTAATCGCCTGTTTATTTTTGGGGGGCAAGTCCCACTGAGTGTAAACAATCTTTCCCCAATTAGCGTTCAGGCTGGCATAATAAAACCAACTGATGAATAAACACAGGATGCCTGTAATTCTATTCTAGTCTGATAAGACTAAAAATTATCTCCAAAGCAGAAGAGGATAAGGTTATACAGCCTGCCCCTCTCCCTAGACACACACACACACACACAGAGAGAGAGAGAGAGAGAGAGAGAACCCCCCAGAAGCTTCTGGCAGAATTCTGCCTCAAAGTGGAGATTCAAAGGTCAAAATCCACTCTCAAAAGACAAATACCCTCACATGGTTTTCATATCTGACGACTATTAAAAAGCACCCAGGCCCAACGGTTAACACTTACCGGGGTGGGCCATGTGGATTGAATTGTTGCCGTACTTTGCGTAGTTATAGATGACCACGGCCGATGCGCCCAGTTTAGCTGCTCGCTTAATCTTCTCCGTGAAGGTGCAGTTGCCTCTCGCGATCAGGGCAATCCAGGGCGACACCGCGGGGGCGAAATGCGTGTCCCACATGCAGGCTTGGAGTTCGGAAGAATTGGACAGCACCACCAGCCCTCGAGCCTCCGCCACGGGAGAATGCACGCCGAACATGCCGCATTCGCACCTGTGGTTTGTCGAGGACTGGTTGAGGGTGTTAAAGTAGACCAAAGTCACGTTGGCTTTGTTGGGAAGAGCCTGGACGGCGCTGAAGAGGCTGGCAAGAATCAGAAAGCGTGCAGGGCTGGGTTTCCGCCCGCCCTTCATCGCTCGGGGGGGACTTCAAAAATTAAGATTCCCAAAACGCGTTGAAAAGCATTCGATCGCCAAGAGCCTCCTGCTTCCCTTCTGCGTTTAATCTGAAATTACAATCCTTCGGCAGGTAAGCAACACTGCTCCTCCCTGGTCATTAGATCTCGCACGTTGTTGCGTCAGCTCAGTTCTCACTTTGCTTATCTCAGAGGAATAAAACGACCTGATGCCGGAGCCCCAAGGCAGGAACTCAGGCAGCTAATTTTCAACCCCCCTTCTGTTGTTTCCACACAACTGCTTTTAAACAGACATGCCGGCTGAAAGGGCTCCGCGGACGTTTTGAGCGCCTTTCCCTACACAGGCAGGTACAGGTGAGACTGGCTGCCTTTAGGAAAAAGAGTAAGGTGCTTACTCTCTGCAAGGGGACATGTTCCCATCTAAATAAACGCGAGGGAATTTGAGGGGAAATAGCCAATCATAATTCTTCCGGTAGAATTCATCTAAGTTTATTTACCTTCGAGTCATTGTTGACTTCTAGTGACTGCCTGGACTGATCCTTGCAGTCTTGTTGGCAAGATTTTGGAAGTGGTTTGTCCTTGCCTCCTTTCTAGAGCCGAGAAGGTGTGACTTGGCCCAAGCTCACCCAGCATGTGTGCAGGAGTACAATTCCCCGTCTCCGGTTCCTAGCCTGATGTGACTACACCTCCAATGTTATAGTCTTGTGCAAATGCTTTGGAGACATTTTAAGAAGCCAACAGATTCATCTGTGTTAAATAAGCCTTTTTTTAAAAAAAAAAAAATTCAAAACTTTGTTAATGTATAACATCACTTTTATTTTAAAGCACTTTTTAAGTGAAACCTCGCTTCAAATGAATGTTATAAAAATACATACAGTTTGAACATACCTCACTGATTTTAGGCGGTCTAGGTTTGCTACATTATTTTTTTTTGAACCCGGGTTTGAACACTGAAATAACATGCTGGCTCTATCAATTTTTTGCAACTTAATTTTCCAATACTGGTCGTAACCATCAACATCTTTGGCAAATCCTCTTCCCCCACTACTCATCATTATTGTGAAATAGTAGTGGGAGTCAGAAGAACTATTTGAACCAAGATGGTTATATAAATGAATTTATTCCAACTGGAAGCACTGCATGAACACTTCTGGTACTATATACAATTACACACTTGATACATTTTTATTCTTTTTTTCCAGTATAAATTTTTTTCAGACATCATCTTAAAATCAATATATTCAAACAGAAGCAAACTGCAGAACATTGTAATTGTTATAAAAAACATTCAAATCCTGAAAAAAAGGAAAGGATTTTGGCACCAAAAGGACCAAGTAGGGCATTTGTCAAACCTCACATTTCTTGATGGAAAAGGGGGGGCTGGAATTACTGGCATGGTCTGGGGAAGGAAAGACAGCAGCAAGAGAGACGGATTTTCAGGGCAAACCCAGCAGTTCCTCTGCAGCCCTGCCAATAAAATATAACATCAAAGCAATAGTGCAACACAATGTACAAAAAAAGGACCACTCGTTTCTTCCAAGTCACACTAAAAGGCACACTCACTTTTTCCAAGACTGAATACAAACACACACATATTCGACTTCCCTTTTTCTGGGTGACTGGGCTGCAGCTGTACTATGCCTGCTCTCAAACCACATGATCAGATTTTACCCATCTGCACTAGACTGGTACTTGTGCACCCAATGCAGTTCTACTTCATTTCCATTCTGTAACAAAACCCAAAATTACAACTTCTGATTGGAGTGTTTTGCCTCCCTCCCACAGGCTCATCATCTACGGAAGAGGCCGCAACCATATAATGATCAGCTGGCAAGGTAATCATGATCCAAAGTTGACACAGCAAATCTAAGGGGCTCGATTACGGCAATGACACCCTCCCCAGTGCAGCATTTGTGCAGGCTCCACAAACAAGCTCAACATACGAAACCTGTCCTGGTTGCTTTCCTTCGTCCTACATCCAAGCCTTCTGCAGACTGTCGATGAATGAGGCAACTTTTGAGGGAGGCAGTTCTGCTCCTGACCTATCCTAACTAAAGATGTTTGCTGCCTGTGACAAACTTTTCATAATCAGATCAAATTCAGTCACCTAGAAAGCAGAGATAAGCAGCAAAAGAGCCAGTCTTCCTTTTCAGTATCACAGGACAAGATCTGACTATCACGTGCATTGGTGGCTTATCTTTTGCTACTTTAAACTTAAACAAAGGTTAAGACAGCAATATGCTGTGCAGTACTTGTTGCCAAAAAAACCCTGATTTGAGAGGCAAGTACCTGTCAAAACACTTCTATAAAATTCAAGTACGAAAGAAACAGAAACTTTCCTTAACCACTGCTAAATATCCAAATTAAGGATAGAATAGCAGGAGAAAAACATTCTCTTGCAAGTTTAATGCTCAGTTTACAATACATTTACGTCAAACCATGAACTATGTTTGGTTGACTACATCAACTTCTGTTATCTTATATATTTTCCTAAGAAAGACTTCAGTTTTGTTGTTATCCAGAGGACAAACATCCAGAATACAGATGACCCGTTGATTCTCCAGGGCAGCGGCCTTTAAATCATCTAGTATGCAAACAGATAATGGACATGTTACACATTCGGGAAAAGCAGTTACCCATTCATCAGTTACCTAATATTAATTCCAGAATGGTTGTGAACAAGAACAAGAAAGGAAAATAATTCCATCCCCAATAATGTGGCAAGCCAATTACAACATAGGGAAAAACCCAGCCAAAGCAATTGTAGCTCCAGGGTACTTTTCAAACCCTTTGACAGCAAGAGCGGCAGCCATTTTGATTTTAAACAAAACCCATAGATGGCAAGAATTAAAAAGAGGGTAATGCCATGATTTACAATTCCTGAAGTTAAATAGTGAGTCATGAAAGGACCCACCTCAATAGTCAAATCCACTGTTTTTATTTTAAAAGAGCATGGCAAGGTCTTCCCTTTTCCAGAATTTGGATGAGTTACTCTCGGCAGGTTTTTTTATAGCCCCGTTTCCCAATATAAACATCTATAGAAACAAAGTGACTGTCCCCATAAAGATCTCTTTTTTGATCTTCCATTATCTGGAAGATAGAAATTCTTAATTTAGCAGAGAGAAAGTTGGCATGGGTAATTTGAACAGGATAATTTGCAAGCAACCCACACTCCTGAGTTATATATTCAAAGCCACTGAAGGCAAACCACCTGCAATGAAAATATATTTGTTTAAACATGTGGTTGTCTTCTTTAAATTCTTTACAGCTGCCAAGATAAGTATTTTTAAAAACAGGATTAAAAAAAATGAGGAGGGGAGCGTTTCAATGGTGCTACTCCCTCTTCAGAAGAAAACAGATTGGTCCATCTAGATTTAAATGATTTTAAGGCTAGGGTTTGTCAGCCAAACCCTCAGTCTGGCTCTAAATAAAACTGGTTGGAAGACAGCTCTACAATGGAGATTGTTATAAACTGAGCTATCGGATTCTTAAGGCCATTTGCAATGGCTTACTTTTAGACTAGGGACAACAGCCATATGCAAATCATTTGTGAGCTGGAAGATCCTACCTGGAAGTGAAAGTCCTCCTTGCTTAAGGGTCTCCTGGCAAGGTGTAGTATCCTTGAGGTGAGAAGGTGCTGCCTTTTGCGACGCCTCTTTGACTTGAAATAAGTAAGAGTCCTTCAGGAGGGCAACCTCTATAGCTATATCATGATTTACACCTGTTCGAGACATAAGGTACTTTCATTAATGCCAAAAGGCTGGGTTAATGAACTATAAAAACCATCTTCAAGAATCTTGGTCATCAAACAAAGCTTTAAGTCCAAGGGTCAAAGTCTCATGCTTCATTTCTCAAAGCTGCAGACAACTGCCTGTCCAATCTTTCCTTGAAAGAATTTAGGAAAAACGCCTGCATTCCTCAATGGGTTTGTTTTGGGGTTCATTTTTTCAATGTTTAATTCAAAAGGAAATCAATGACAACCTGACCTACTTTAAACAGATAGCCAGTCTGAGTTATGTTTCAAAATAGGAGCATCACTCTATTAAACACAGACAATTCACCGATGGGGTTTCCCTCCATTATCTGCCTTCCTTTCAGACTACTACATTTTGAGCTGCTTCCATTGTCGTACTTCTAAAGCGAACAATACCAATGCTAAACCAGTAATATTCCCCGTTCTCCACCTACAGCACGGGGCAGATCCCGTATAGTGCCACAAATCCAGGCATGTGTTTGATTTCTTTTTTAGCATCATGCAAGTTCTGGCTTACTCCTGAAATTCCCTAGTTTCAAGAATAATGTATTTTACAACTTCTTTGGTCATATAGAAAAAGGTTCTTTGGGATCTACCAATTTTCTTTCCGGTTGCTCTAAAAAAAAAAAAAAAAAAGTCCCATTCCTTCAGAGCCGCAAACATGAATCGTGCGCCTTGTAGCACTTTTTTTTTTTGTAAAGGCAAAGCTCCACAAATGTTCAATTTTCTAAGTGTGTTGAAGTTAGTAGTTACTTACCAAGAATAGCCACTTGATAGTATTCTAGAGGACAGGCATTTTCAAAGTGACTCGTTTCTTCACTCGCCAGGCATTTTTCTGGCTGGAATTTGGCTGCTTGAAGATTGTATTGTTTCAACAGGACTTCTCTGTGAGCGTAATTAAATTTACAAGGGAAGCTTTCTGGGAAAACCTTGCTGAAGTCCAAGTGCTGTGCTAAGTTGTTTTTTGCGAAGGTCCAGAGAACACTTTCCCAGGAATTGGGGCACATCCTTTGTGGGTGGACTTTTTCAGGCGTGTCGGCTATTTCTTCGTTACCTGCCAATATGAAGAAAGTAATCTGTAATGCAGAAGATTTCAAACATCTTTGAGCACCTCAGCTCCAAAGGGCTGCTTGACCAGGAAGGGCATTCAAAACAGTCTATTCTAGAGCTGAGACAAGGCTCCTGGCCGATAGAAAAGCTAACCATCCATCGTCTCTCCAGAGCTGTGAACTAAAAACCGTCAGCTTCTATATGTGTCTCGGGATAATGTCGCGTGATCCAATCTTGGGTCAGTCGCCGGGACCAGAGGTTTAGTCTTCCGAACTTTCGGACTCGTCCTGGAGCCCACCCTTGGGGGACTTCTCTCCACCAGAATCTCTACCAGAATTGGGCTGTTCTATGTTTCGTATTTATATGGCACCTTCCTGTTGGTTGATGGCCGGCGACTGGCCGTTGTTTCGATACTTATGAAGCTGGAGGTAAATTAGCACTCCTGTTGACTGACAAGGGGCCCTTTTCCCAGGCACCTATGGTCCCGTTGACCGACCCAGACTGGATCTTGCATCGTCAGCTTTGATCAAGTTTCACATAAGCAGCGGAAGGCCAAAAAACCAAAAATAAAAACCCAATCAATGTTCCCTGGGATTATCACCTTGAGCTCATCCCTCAGTTGCACCACTAGAAATAGCATTTTTATACCGACTTTTTTTATAACTAATTGTGACTTTTTTTAAAGCCCTTAAATTCTTCCACGGCATGCAGGATTATTTATTCTTTGATTTGATTGATGACCGACCATTTTTCTATAACGGGCATGATATATAAGCTATTTTAAATTATAGCAATACAACCTCTAAGATCTGTTACCTAATTATTGTTTGTTTTTTGCTTCTTACCACAGGGAAGTCATTGGAAGCCGTTATTAACTATATTTAATTTTTCACTAGATGAATTCAAATTTAGTTTTTGTTCTTGCACCACCTTTTTTTAAAATGCAGTCACAGGTGTTCTAAAATTTAACTGGAGCCCTCCGCTTGGAAAAAGTTGCTCACCCCAATCTAAGAATATTTGCCAATCCAATTCCGATACTGCTTGAGTGAGTAACCTTTCTAGCTTTGTAATAAATTCAATATTTTCATACTCTATGGCCACTGACATATAGAATAGTGTTAGTCCAAAGACTAAAAAGAGATAAGCACAAATGATAATTATAACCACAAGAAGTACTAATGTAATAGATAAATGCAACACAAATTAACTTTTATGTTATGATATAATCCTTCCATAAACAAGTTGCTTAATAGCTCCTGACAGAAATCTAGCTGCTAATAGGACAGGTCATAATTAAAGACTAAAATACATATTACAATTGTATTAATAGATGTTTTTTATGACTAGGAAAACACATTTGATGGTTAATTGAATGATTAATATGTTGTCTATTCTACTTTAGATTATTTTTATTCAGACTCTCATTCATCTTTGTTATAATAGAATTAATTCCAAACGGCAAAGGCCATAAGATTATGTGATCCAAAATGCTGCATTCATGAAATGAACGAAAGTGAATAATGCAAAAAGCTGCATTAATGATTTCAATGAAAGTCTAAAACAACTGGATTACGCATCTCTTTCAATGCAATTTGGAAGCAATGCATCCATCCAAGATGAACATTAGCATCAGTGCAGCAAACTCCAATTGTTGGGTAGTACCAACTGTCAGGGCGTTGGAGTTCTCCTCCTGCTCCCCAGAAACCATTGACTTTTTTAAAAAAATAACTCTACAGCTTAATTTAGCTGTTTTGTATACTAGATCTGCATACCAGAATAAAATATGGCAAAATAACCAGTCAGGATCTACAACAGGGGTGTCAAACTCCCGGCTCGCGGCTGGATGTGTCCCACGCTGGCCACGCCCGGTTTAGTGATGACGCCGCAAATTTGACACCCCTGATCTACACAATACATCCTAAATGAGGGCCCCCTAACCTTTCAAGCACCAGGGACTAGTTCCGTGAAAAGGGAAGGGGCGTGGTTTCATGGGCTGCCCGCATCCCACAGAGGGGGCTTCGCTTGTTTGACCGGTTACCCGCAGATGGGGCTTCGCTCCTGACTGGTTCCTGTCATGCTGCGGTCCATGGCGCTGTTCCATGGACCAGGGATTGGGGGCTCCTGTCCTAAATCACATTGCTACATTCATAAGGAAGTGCAACCGTTGCACCTCATAAAAAGGAATCAATCTGAAATTTTTTAAAAAAGCAAGGCTGACCTATTCTAGGCAATGTCTTTACTGCTTCTACTCCAATAAGCACCAAGGAGCTAAGCAATGCAGGAAGAATAAAACTTTACCTAGGCAACCACGTAAAAACCACATATATTAACTATGAACAATAACATCAGAGACGGAGGCAGCATATTATTATTACTACTTGCTCCCCACCCTAGCTTACTGGAAGATAAAAAGCCGTTACTCGTATAACCTTCAGAGGCAAAGTACATACTTTGGTGCGTCTGTGCTGTTTCCATCACTTCTGCATTGTCTTTATCAGCATCGGAATTATCTTGCGAAAAATCGGGCAACCTTCAAAAATCCAAGCAGATGGTCACTGAGAGCAGCAAAATCCATAATTACGATTTTTAATTTGTAGAACCTCCAGGTGACTAATCTCATGTTATGGATCAAAAAGAAAGTATGATACAGCTGGTATGTGTGTGTATGGGATAAGCACCGAGGGAAGAGGATTCCCCACCCTTCCCATATAATTTTCCTGTTCGTCCCCATGCTCCAAAGCTATTGTTAGAAGTCCAGCTGGGGAAAACCAGATCTCAGGTGAGTCACTAATAGCTATTGAGGAAAGCAGAGGGAAGCACCGGCATCTACTGCCAATTAGAACAGGACAAAAATGATAAGAAACATGACAACATCACAGAACTCCAACCTTTACATATGTGCAACCTGACGTCTGACCCAAGTTAGTGTTAATTTACAGCATTTATGCTCCCCTTGAAGACAGAAGCTCAGTGACTGAGCAAAATATGTAGACTGAAAGCACTCTTACTCCTTACAATTTAAAAACATCCTCATCTTAAAGGAAGCCAACAGAGTAAAACAGCATGGATAGAAAAGACTTTCACATTCCAGCGCTATTTGCCTCAACGGAAAGAATATATTCCTTTTCTCCCAGCCATCTAGGCGGTGTAGATGAGGTTACAATGGGACATGGGTTCAGTTCCTTTCCCAAATTATGAGCGGTATAAAACTACACAGCAGTTTTGCAAAAAAAACCTGTAACTAAAAAAATATATCAAAATTGCTAGACAGCAGAATGAAATGTCACCACTTTAAAAAAAAACCGCAATGAAATTACAAAGAATTGGCCACTTACGTTTTTCTTTTGCTTTTTGACCTTGTCACATATGAATGCTGAGAAGAACCAGGAGGGTGATCCGTGGTCCTTAAAAATATAGTTAACAAGCGTCAAGCTTCTTTGGAGGCGTCAATTATTTTACAATAAAACAGCTTCTTTTACCATGAGCTCAGATCACATAATTATGTTTCCAAAGAGAATCAAAACGCTTCCATCTATTACCAATTAGTTCCGTTTTGTGTTTTTTTTTACTAGTCTGTGAGGCTGGGTGAGATTAAAACACAAATGTTTAAATGCACTGTACGATGAGGCGAGTAAGTGACAGGGTGTGAAGATGAAGTGCTAACTTTCCATAAGAGGACACCTGATATGGCTTGGAATTTGGCCCACCCTCCATCCCAGGACCCCTCAACAGGAACCATTAAAACAGCACTGAATTAGAGGGGGTCCAGTCCAGCTGCCTGCTGAGTGAAGGAACCACCAGAGTAGGGGTGCCAAACTCACGGCCCACGGGCTGGATGCTTCACATGGCCGGCCACGCCCACCCGATACTCACGTGATGCCACGAGTTCGACACCCCTGCACTAGAGCATCTCTGACAAGATGACAATCTGGCTTTCATCCAAGACCTGCAGTAAAGGAGAACTGACCACTTCGTGCTGAGGGCCAAGCAAGTTCCTCCTGTAATTTGAATCTATGGTTCTGGTCCTGCCCTCTAGGGGAACAGAGACTCAAATCCCATCTCCCCTTAGCATTCTCTTCTGTGGGCTAAACATACCCATGTTTCTTTTTCTTTTTTAATAACCGATTGGTTCCCAGAGCCCTTGTCATCTTGAGAACTGAACTGGCTCCATCGTTGTCATTTTTTTTGAACAACGATATTGAGAAACACACACACAATAATTCAAGTGGGATCTGACCAAGGCAGAATAAAAAAGCATTCGCATTTTTTAGCAGCTGCATCACACTCCTAGCTCCTTGTCTAATTTGCGGCGGGCAAGGACATCCAGATGGTTTTTATCTATACTACTGATAAGGCAAGTCTTCCCCATCTTTTATCTGTCCCTCTCCTTTTTCCTACATGGATGCAAATCTTCACATACACCCCTGTTAAGTTCCATCCTATTCTTTTCAATGTGGTGAATATTTTTCGGGCCTGGCCTTGGTGCTGCTGTTCAGGGTGGCTTACTAGATGGGGGTGGAAAGGAAAGTAGAAGATTCTCTTTTGTCAGGGAGTCAGATGTGTATGTGACATCTCAAGAGTCAAGGAAGGTGTTTTCCAAATTTTTGACACCCCAAGGCCGAAAGGTTTGCCATGACTGGACTGTAACCTAAAATACACAACTGCCAGAGAAACTAGAGGTTCTGTTCCACTTCAAAAGCAAACACTTCCTTACTCTACAGTTGAAATACGTCTCTTTGCACAACTCCTAGTTACTACGGTTTGTTGCTCCAGAGATGGCGACTTCTGCTTAGAAGTTGATTCTCTCACTTGCGGGTGTTCCGACAAAGAAGTACCTACTGATGAGCTTTTCTCGATCTGCAAAAATAATGTTAAATCAGATTTACACACTGTCCACCACTTAGTGCTTTCCTCTCTCTTTTTTTTTTAAGGCTAGATTCAGTCTCGTTACCGCAAACAGCAGGATCAATTCAGCAGGGAAAAAAACAACAACATACACACACAGGATTTTAACTAAGATATAATGTTCTGTCTCAAACACCCTTCCAATTTATTTCCACTGCTTTAGTCAAACAATGTAGAAAACTATGACATATATCAAGATAGTTTTTAAAAAGGACACGGTTATCATGATAGCTTAAAACATAATTTCTAATTTTACACATGTTCAAAATAAGAGGGGAAAAAATAAGAAGTCATCACTACAGGCTCCTTAAATTCAAATACAGAATATCTGTTTCAATCATACTCATACTGTCGTAAGTGCTAGGCTATTAATGCTGAAGTACCATACCTGCATTGGGGATTCTCCTGAGGCATCCTGGGAGGTACTGCTACAGCTGACACATCTTACAGCACTAATTATCCCTTGAAAAGCAATGTGCTTCTGTTCCCTGTAGTGCAAACTGTCAATCTCCTTCTCAATTTCACTGAGGGATATCAAAACTAATTTTTCTGAAATGCAATTTTTAAGGAAGAGAGCAACAAATAAGTTCGGGGAGGTAAAATTCAGATGGCAAATAATGTAACATATTTATTGTTTTTAAACTGGCACAAGCACCCATCTGAATAAGTCCATTTTGCAAACAACTGAGAAAACCCCGCTGATGGTCTGTCTCGAGTACAACCCGTCAGCCTCCCTTTAAGGGCACAAAAGCGACAGACCGCCTTATAAAATGAGGTTGTTATGGGATGTGCCCACTATTATGGGATGGGTCCAGTGTTCCCCTCGTTCTCATCCCATTTAGGACACTTTGTGTATCGTGGAGTAATCCCCCAACCATCTCAAATGACCTGCCGTGTGGATGAGGAGAGAAAGAAACAAGCCTTTTGACAACTGTCAAGCTATCATGACATTATGAACTACAAACCAGAGACATTCTCTATTTGCATGATGAGCTTTTTTTAGATGACACCATATAGGTCACTTTAAAATTCAACCACCGTCCAGCTGGGTTTTTTTTTTTTTTTTACGTGGAGCTAAAATACAACTCCAGTTACACTATTAGTCTTAGAAAGTTTAAAAGGGGATAACGAATGAAGAAGAATTGTTACGTTTTGCTACAGCCTTAACTAATGACAAACTCTCAGCACCTATAAATAAGGCGACTCAAAACTGGCCTGCGGAAGGAAATTGGCATACCATTCATATTTTTACAATATTCTGCAAATGTACGTGGGAGTGGCGGGAAACGATAGTATCCCCCAATGACAACTTTGTCCACGTAAGAAGCTTCCTCTTGGGTTCTCATCCACTGGATAAAACTTTGCACTTTTGGATCTTTTATATATGGCTGGCCCTTATGCCATCCTATGTTAGAGAAAACAAAGCAAAAAAAAAAAAGGCATGGCAGTTAGAATAGAATATAGACTAGACGATAGACTAGACTCGAATATAGAATAAAATCAAATTGACTCAAATAGAATAGGCCAATCTTTTGGACCTCAGGGACCACCAAACTCATAATTTTAGATTCCAGGGACCACTAACTGGTTCTGTGGGTGTGGTCTAATTTGTGGGTGTGGCTTGGTGGTCATGTGAATGGCTGGGCATGGCTTGTATGTAAATATTATAAATATTTATATAAATATTGAATTTTTTAGTAAAAAAAGAGCAACTTTTACCCAAAATCAGGCAAAGCAGGCAGATTGAGTTGCTCACAGAATCATTCAGTGATCTATCTATCTGCCATCGGCTAGCTCAATCTCTCAAATTTTCTTGCCGTGAGTCTGCACTGAATTTGCTTGCAAGCAAACCTTCAGTCCTAAGGGAGGTTCGGCTGTGCTTAGCTAGAAAGCAAAAAATCCAACCATTTCCTGCTTCCTAGCTAATCTAAATCTCCCAGCACAGCAGAACAGATGATGGTCGGAAAAAGGAAAAATAGCAACTTAGCAGGCAAGTTTGCTGGGTAAGGAGTGAGTGGGCGGGGAGGGTTCCTGCGGGCCATGTGGGCGGCGCAGCCTTGTGTTTCTGCGCAGCCTGGATTAATTGCTTTGGGGGAGTGCTCTGGCGGTGAGATTTTTTTCTGTGGCCCACCAAAATTTTCTCATGGCCCACCAGTTGGCGACCGCTGGAATAGAGAATATAGAACAGAGTGGAACAGAACAGAATAGGAATAGAGAATAGACTAGAACATACAATATAGAATTCAACAGAATATAGAATCCAATCTAAACTTTGTCACTTGAAATACACACTAATTGGCATATATTAAAATGAAATGAAATAAGAACGCACGAGGCCGTCACTCCTGAGAAAACATCAGTGGGATGCCAAATTAGGGGAAGTAATAAGCAACTTGGGGCTGTCTCAACTGGCAAGATTCTCATGTAAGGAATAAAAGGGGGCAGCACTTTCAGTCCTCACAATTACAATATGCAAAAGTGTAGCATGGGCAACAGAAACTCATAAAAGAGAAACAGAGAAAGACAACTGACGTGATTTGATAGATTAAGATTAGAGATAAAGTTAGATGTATTTATAAAATGCGTGGGTTTTTTTACCTGTAAAAAACATTTGAGTTTTCACAGATGTTGTTAAATAGGCTGCACTGGAGCCATTCTCAGAAATACTTTGTTCCACTCTCATCTGGGTACACACCAAGTACTTCACTAGAGAAGGAGAAGCATCAAATTACCTCTTCATTTATTTACTCCAATCAAAGCAGATTCAAAATAGCATACAATCCCCCATTTTTAGTTATTTGTTTATAAAATGTATTGGCCATCTTACCATAGGGTAATTCTGGGTAGTTTACAGTTACATCCAAGTTAAAACGTAAAAAGTTAAATATCAAACCTTAAAACCATTTCTGTAAATCCCAATTAAAACAAAACTAAATATTACATTACATACAATAACTATATCAAATTGACCAAATCAATTTTTACAAAGATGACTGGAGCCTATCCATCACTGAAATTGGTTGATGATGATACATGTAAGTTTTTAAATGGTAAGTTTTGAAACAGAAGCGATCAAAAGTGAACTAATTATGATTTGTCAACCTAACTCACTTTCTATTGTTTTTCTGCAGCATTTGAATTATTTTTTTTCAGAACGCTTTCTGCCTTTGGCCCGGTGCTCATACAGTGCAGATTAAGAGAAAAGAGCAGTATCTGGCCTCTATCAGTGTAAACTACAGGACACAATCTCATCTGCAGAGATGCCACGTGACACTGAAAAACATCCTGTGTGTACAGGAAACTAAAACGTTGCCAGATGAAATGTAGAGACAACTGATTGCCTAGATACTAGACGAAGCATTTTTTGGAGAATGCTTCTATTATCACCTGAAATCTGAAACTTATAATATTGCATCAACTCCTTATGAGAAACTGCTTATCACCAAATGGAGAACACTTCCTGGAGAAGCAATGTGGAAGAGATGGGGGGGACACATGTTGATCATCACATTCATGCCCAAACTGTAAAATTACCAAAAGCATGCAGCAGATTATTAGATGGTGGATTTAATGAGACCTTTGGTGTGTCCAGTATGATGGTTCTTACTTTTTAGGTTCATATTTACACATCTTTTAATGTATGATCAATAACAATGCTCTGAAGTCCTGACAGTTGTCACTAAACTGCAATGCAATCTTTACCTTCTCTTGTGAGATAAAGCTATGGACTACAATGAAAGTTGATAAGCATTGATAGCTACTTCACACTACCTTATTTTCAATCAGATGGAATATGGAAGGAAAAAGGAAACAGGAGGAATATGCCGTCAACTGTTGCCACACCAATTCTTACAGTGTTCCACTGATGTTACTTAGTTTGGTAATGAAACGTCTGCAAGAAAACCATCAAGGTTGGGGAGCACCAGGGACCCTCAGTTCAACCCCAGGCTACAAATATTCTCTTCTCCTGGCTAAGTATATGGAGTTTAGAATCAATGGAAATCCAAGAATTCTTTACAGTTCATCCTTTCTACTGTGACGAAAAAAATATGAGTAATTACCCAATACTCCCGACTCCTCAAATTCCAAACAAATTTGACAGAAAGCAATTACATTAAATAGAGATTTATAGAATACATACTTGGGTAAATTTGCTCAAATATATCCGGCTGAGATGTGGAAAACAATTCTATTATAAACGGCTGCTCTGAAGTTCCATCAACCACATGTACCCAGCGATAGGTCCAAAAGTCATCCATACAACCTATATAGACAAAATAAATGTTAATCGATATTCTACGTGTATTTTTACAGCCAAACATATAATCTTTGAAAATACCTTTTTTCTTCTTGCGCTCGACCCGTCCAACATATTGTACAAGTCCAATGATGTCACAAAACTGATTTTGTGCTAATTTATCCAATTCAGATCTGGGATTCAAAGCACAACAGAATTTAGGATATCAAACAGATAAAAGCCATCCACTAGATTCCAGAAATTGATTTGTCCAAGAAAGTCACTAAAATGGAAGTGTTCAAACAATACAACAAGCTGAGCTATGACTTCACCTGAGAATTCGGTTCTCCCAAACTATCTAACCACAAATGCTTGTGAGATATTTGAAAACTTTATGGTAAAAAAATGGCAACTGTAGCCAGGTGAGTTTTGGTACAGTTACATCTCACACACCAATTGTCTCCTTTTTAGGATTGGGAGGACTCTTCCTTAGTCCAACCCTATTTGGATTACTGTAATGACTCTGTCTTAGAAAGCTTTCAGAGGCTACAGTTGATGCAAAATGAAGTGGTCCAGGCAAGGAGGGGTTTAATTTTGATACTCCATTAGATTTATTTTATGGGCGGGTTTACTATTTTTGAGAGGCATTTTGGATTTTTTTCTTATATTTAACTGCTCAGTGCTTGTGGGAAATAGATGGCATACAAATAAAATTAAAGTAAAAATTTATTCATCGTGCAGTAGCTCTATTCATTGGAAATAAACGAGCAGAGAATCCATTGCTTCTTTTCAGAATTTTACCCTCGCTTTTTCTAAACTGAGAAAGCCATCATGTCACACATGGGCAGCAGGCTTGTGGCAGTAACATTCACAAAGGCAAGTAATAATAATCTGTTTTTGCTGAACCATCTTAACACTGTTGATAGTACATGCAGAATTAATATCTATTACCATATAGCATTTGTAAACGTCAGAATTTCACATCTCCTTGTCAATTTTTTAACACTAATATTCCAGTGGAAAAATAATTTGTGAAAAAGAGACATAATAATAATAATAATAATAATAATAGTAATAACCTTGTTACAAAATGATATTCAACTTCAGGCAACTTCCATTCTGGTTTAATTTTATGTTCTGGAATGATGTTAATTTTAGCTGGAGGGTCTCGAACGTTCAAAGCAATTTCTAAAAAAGAATTAACCAGATGATGACAATTATGTTTGACTGGATTACCAGCTACATTAGTTTTGTTCTAGTCATTTAAACATATTTTTATAAAAGTTTGTTTTATCCAATTTTAAACACCTTAGGGAGGGCGTGTGGCAAGTTGCATAAACATGATGTTAGAGAAACTTGAAACAGGGCTTCAAAGGGAAAGAAATCCCCCCAAAGTAGCAGCTATTTTAAACTGTTGCAGACATAAATTGCATTTGTACTTCTTGGGAATTAAATCTAAGAAAACAGCTCTACTACCTCCCTACCCTTGTTCTTTTCTTCCATCTGTAACTTCCTTTTTTTTTATTTATTAGACTTGTATGCTGTTCATCTCGCCTTTTATAAAACTGGCCTCTCCAAGGTCACTTAAATCACGGATAAATTACAAGAGATGTGCTACAGGAAAGAATGCTGATATTGGAGCAGTAGAAATCAGCCTGAGCACTTAGATATATACAAGAAACACATAAAACCGCTAGATGGGAATTCTTTTCAAGAAAACCACAGCTCCCCACAAGTTTCCTTTCTTTCTTTTTTCTACCAGCTGGGGAAAGAAAGCACGATTTAGCAAACTGTTCTACACTGAACAATGGTTATCAATATTCATAAGCAACAGGAAAATTTGGTTAATCTCAAAGGAACGATGATGGGTGTCTAGGAAAGCCAGCATTTATATTTGTATAAACTCCCCCTTCCATATTCTTCAATTAATGCATCAAGACATTTAAAAATAATAAATCGTTCATAGTGTAATGAGCTAATTAGTGCAATTTAAGCAATCTATTAGAATTGGCCATGCTATGCTTTTACCGTGTACTTCAAATTATTTATTCAATATTCTAACAGCAACCAAAAAAGAGCCTGCTAAATATATGACAGATCATTAGCTATTTAGAGACTACTTGAGCATCCTATTTATGCCACAGGAGGCCTTACTTTTCATTTTAATATTCTGTTTAATGTGCACCTATCCTTCACTTGGACCTCCCTTCCTCCAACATTATTTTTAACTCTGTATTACTAACCGAACCCTATCAGCACTTCCAGGATACAAAACAAAAAAAGTCTACTTCCATTGACCTATTGAGAAATAGATTTGAAAAGTCTCAGACTGATGAACTTGAATCTAATACTTCTCCAAGACCATTAGAATCACTGTCAAACTGCTTAAATTCATCAACAGTTTTTCCTTTATTGCTCCTTCTGACCAACAAAACGTTTCACTTTCTTGACTAGATTTTCTTTTATATGCGTATGTAATTATCATCTGCCTAAACCAATCCACTGCAGGATGCAGGCTTCTTCTGGGAAGGTTATGGGCTGAAATCTACCACGCTGTTTCGGTGCATTTTGGTAGAATGAGGCTTTTTGACTTCCAGGTTTAGATAGGACTGAGAATAACTGACCAGATCAAAGTCACCCAGCCAATTTCTGTGTCCAAAAGAAAATTAGAACTTTAGAAAAATATAAGATGCAAGCAAATCAAAATAATTAGAAACTAATTGTGGCAGGCGGAGCCCTCCTGAGAAGAGATGGATTAGATACAGATCCCACGTTGTGTAGCCAAGTAGGGAAATGGCTTCCTGCTATTTGAGAATGATTACTGCAGGAGAGTGATTGGTTATGACAGTCGGTTCCTTCACTGCCTGAAGTAGCAAACAAACATATATTCTTTGTCTCAGATAATCATTGTATACAGGCAAAATGAATGGTCAGTTAGACCTTTGTTGACCAACTGAAAACTAATGGATTTTCTCTAAAAGCTACTACCCCCCCCCAAAAAAAAAATTCATATGTGGGATACTTAACCTATTGAACTGAATCTCTTCATATGCAAATCTTCAGGACTTGACTGTATTATAGAACTTTTTTTAACAGCATATTTTTCGAGCAGCAGGACTGCTCCGATTTTCATACTGTTGTACCATTCAGGGCATAAAGAGCCCCATAGCACCATTAACACCATGCCAGATTGATCAGCCACATCAAAATAAGCCTGCAAATATAAGAACATTTACTCTTAAAAGTTAAAGCCCACATTACTGAAATGTTATTTTAAATGCCTGAGGTTGAAGCATGCTTTTCATTCTATGCCCTTTGCTCCTAAATTTATCATCGAAAATATATGCAACATGCTTCACAAAAACAGAAGCGCCACTGCCCTTATTCAGAAAGCTTTTACATTAAAGGCAACATTCTTTTCTACATTTCCCTATATAAGTTCAGCAGGATTTACTTTAATCAAGAGTATACAATATTCATCTGTGAAATTCCAATCTTAAAAGGAAAATTTTTTCACAGAAGCTGAAACTGGGAAGGAACAAGAGGGACTGAAAAAGGTAGGAACAAAAGGCTTAGTACCAACAAATGAGAGCATTTGTAGCTCAGGGTTGAAATGAGGGATCCTTGTTGCTCTCTGAACTTGCTTGACTAGCACTGATGATGTTACCTAGTTTGGGCAATGAAACCTTTGCAAGAAAACAAGCAAGCTCAGAGAGCACCAAGGACCCCCTCAAAGGCTTTAGTTTATGCTTTAGTACATATTGTGGTCAGATTAATAAATGGAAAGTGAACGAAAGGGATGAGCTTTTTCTTCTTAAGATAGGAATCATCACGGTGGATACCATGGGAATGAGCCTATACAAGATGAAGCTTGTTTAGCAGACAAAGTGTCAAAACAGAACACAGTACAGCATCTGAAAACAAACAGTACCAAAAGTAACAACGTACTTAAGGGAAATTTTCCGGACCCTAAACTACTCATGCCTGCAGAAGGCATGTTATTTCTATATAACGGTTACAGTGGATGCAGAATCATACCTGCCTCCCCTCCTTCAACATTGGCTAAGCAAAATAAACACTTCTAAACAAATGAAATGGGTAATTATTTAATTGCATGTTATTGTACTACAGAGGCATGTGGGGATGATATCACTGCACAAACGCCACGATTTAAGTACTGGCGTCAGACAAGTAGTACATAAAGGGGGCATTTGGACGATGACAAATGTATCATCATTTTGGCGTCACTGTACTTTGCAAAAGCCACTGCTGATGTGGTGAAGTGTTTGGGTTTGTGCATCTAAATACATACACAAGCACACTTGGTTGTATTTTACAAGCTCTCACCTATGTTTGCTAAAACATTAAGTCAGCATAAAAATGATTTGATGGACAACTGAGGTTTATCCATCTGGGATTCGAATATTATTGACATTAAGAATACATTTTAGATACTAGGTTTGTTTGTTTTTTTTTAAAAAAACCAACCCTCTGTATTGGAACTATTCCTACCTGATATGGAACATCTAGCTTTGTGTTTGGTTTTCCAAAATAACGTAATCGAGACTTATGGATGATTCTGACACGCAACGGTGGAAAACTGCATTTGCTTTGCCATGTCATGGCCAGAATAGAGATGGATATTGGTTTGAATGCTATGGAGGAAAAAAGAGCAGAGTAAATATGAACTCAGAACTGGTAACGGTGCAATGAATTCATTGCTTTTATATGATACTACTAGAAACAGTTAACTTCAAAACCCCACGTGGGTTAAGTTAGCTATTGCTACAACATAACTCCTCTGATACTGACTCAAAAGCATGCAAAGTCAGCTGTTCGATTCAGATTCAAAGTCCCACATCGAAAAGCATTAGAGCATTATTAAAGACAAAGCTAGTCGACAAATATTGAAAATGCAGCAGTTCAAATCCAACACCAAACCATAGCTTAGTGTTGCATGAAAAAGCAGAAAGCTACTTCAGATTTATGTACTTAGCCCACAAGAGAGCAAGAAGCCTAAACCGTTTCAGCCTAAGCCGTGAAAACTTGAGTATCTCTCAAGCCAACAGAATCTCTGTTGTGGGAGGGAACTGGAGGGAAAGCTAAAGGCAGACAGGATGTAATTCTAATAAATAGACTATGATTATTTAAGTGAGAGCTTGGTTGATGTAATGGTTAAAAAGCACCAGGTTGGAAGACCCTGAATTCTAATCCTGACTAGGCACAAAACCAGCTGGGTGTCTTTGGATTGGCCCCTCTCTCAGCTCTAAAAAGAAGGCAGCAAGGACAAAACCCTTCCAAGAATGTTTGCTCATCTTGACTTCAAGGTCCCCTTGAAGCTCTTAGGACAAGGGTCTTCAAACTTGGCAAGTTTAAGACTTGTGGACTTCAACTCCCAGAATTCCTGAGCTAACACGACTGGAGGAGGAATTCTGGGAATTGAAGTCTACAAGCCTTAAAGCTGTCAAGTTTGAAGGCCCCTGTCTTAGGGAGATGTCCAGGCAAGTTGCCATATATGGCCATACATGATTCCTTGCTCTGATTTTGGCCAGGAGCTGTTGTGCTACTCCGTATCTCAAACCATGGTTTAACCAAGGCTTCTTCCTGGATGGAAAACCATGGCTTGGCATCCTGCCCAAACCTCTAAACTAGATAACCCAATCATTTTCTGAGTCTAAGAACAGTTAAGAAGCATCCAAGGACACCCCTCTTCCAATGTCATCCCCACTCTTCTAATGTCACCCCACACTTCCGAAGTCATCTCAAGGCCACTCCACGCTTCCGAATAATCTCAAGCACACTCCACGCTTCCAATGCCAGCTCCCATGTCAAGGTCACCCCAGGCTTCCAGTGCCATCCCTGCCCTTTCCCTCATAGCCTTTCTCTGGGCCCTGCCCCTCCTCCACTTACCCTCCAGACCGTCCTCCCTCAAGGGCTTCCTCTCCACCCACATCTCCCCAAAGGGATCGTCATTGTTCCAGAGAGGGAGGTAATGCTTCCTTCCCCCTTTCAGGGGCAGGATGGTCTTCGTGTGGCAGATTCCAAGCTGGGAGGCAGGGCCGGGGAAGGCCGAAGCCCCCTCTAGGATTTCCAGCTCTTCAATGCACACAAAGCCCGGGCTGAGGCTCCTTTCGTTGTACATGTAGGAACACTGGGTGATCTTCAACCGCCGGCCAGCGCCCAGCCCGTTTCGCTGGACCAGGGCGTTCAGCTGGGGGGCCAGGAAGCACTTCTCCTGGTAGGTGCCATCCGTGATGGTCACGTCATAGTAGTAGGCCGGGCAGGAGGCATTGGGCTGGGTTGGAGACCCCTCGGCCATATACCTCTGCAGGAGCAGCACCGTCACAGGGGCTGCCTCTGGCAGAGAGACCCTCATGCCAGAGGCTTTGAGGACTAGGACCAGCATCCTCTGGAGCCAAGGGTCTGCACTGGGGGTTGGGGGGTCACCACTTGGCGGGTCTGGGGCCACCTCAGGGCCCAGGCCCCCTGACACTGTGCCCATTGCCCCTGATATGGGGCCCACGGCGCCTGACCCGGGGCCCTTTTCGGTCAATTGGCTCCTGGGGACTTCCCTAGAGGAGCTCCCCTCGGAGTCTTTCCCCTTCAGGCCTGCCTTCTGGCTGGCAGCGCCCTTCTCCATTTCCCTTCCAGACGCGGCCCTTCTCCTCCCCGTCACCGCGGCGAGCCTTTAAAGCCTGCCTCCCCGGCCTTTCCCCTCAGTCTCCGCCCGCCCCGCTGAGGCGGGAAAGAAGCCTCGGC